GGCTCAAAGTTTAAATGGCAGCGCGAGCTAAATATAGCAGATACGTTCACAGTCAAGCGACCACTAAACAGCGCTGTGAAATCCAGAGAGAAGTGCTTGAATTTCAGCGAAGAACATGAATGTCTCAGAGATTTAGACAACTTTGAAAGCTAGATAAAACCGTGCTGACCAATGTGAGAAACACTGTGCCAAGACAAGAGCCAATCGAGTTTTTCAAACGAAAAATCACCATGATTTACCATGGATTTACTGAACTGGCTGACCCACATTGTATGTATTCATAGTAAAGATTTTATAAAGGCTACTGTTTTTCATAACAAATACCACAGAAACTATATAGTTTCATTTTACGACGGTAGTGAGATGTTATGCACTCACCTAAAGGATTATTAGGAACACCATACTAATACTGTGTTTGACCCCCTTTCGCCTTCAGAACTGCCTTAATTCTACGTGGCATTGATTCAACAAGGTGCTGAAAGCATTCTTTAGAAATGTTGGCCCATATTGATAGGATAGCATCTTGCAGTTGATGGAGATTTGAGGGAGGCACATCCAGGGCACGAAGCTCCTGTTCCACCAAATCCCAAAGATGCTCTATTGGGTTGAGATCTGGTGACTGTGGAGGCCATTTTAGTACAGTCAACTCATTGTCATGTTCAAGAAACCAATTTGAAATGATTCGAGCTTTGTGACAAGGTGCATTATCCTGCTGGAAGTAGCCATCAGAATATGGGTACATGGTGGCCATAAAGGGATGGATATGGTCAGAAACAATGCTCAGGTAGGCCGTGGCATTTAAACGATGCCCAATTGGCACTAAGGGGCCTAAAGTGTGCCAAGAAAACATCCCTCACACCATTACACCACCAGCCTGCACAGTGGTAACAAGGCATGATGGATCCATGTTCTCATTCTGTTTACGCCAAATTCTGACTCTACCATCTGAATGTCTCAACAGAAATCGAGACTCATCAGACCAGACAACATTTTCCAGTCTTCAACTGTCCAATTTTGGTGAGCTCTTGCAAATTGTAGCCTCTTTTTCCTATTTGTAGTGGAGATGAGTGGTACCCGGTGGGGTCTTCTGCTGTTATAGCCCATCCGCCTCAAGGTTGTGCGTGTTGTGTCTTCAGAAATGCTTTGCTGCGTACCTCGGTTGTAACGAGTGGTTATTTCAGTCAAAGTTGCTCTTCTATCAGCTTGAATCAGTCGGCCCATTCTCCTCTGACCTCTAGCATCATCAAGGCATTTTCGCATAATTGCATTAATGAGAAATTGAACAGGTGTTCCTAATCATCCTTTAGGTGAGTGTATATGTTTGGTTTTACCAATGAAAATCATGATCTAAATGTATGATACTATGGATGACCAATGGTTCTTTTAAACAAAAGTACTAGGTGAAACAAAATATCTATAATTTTAGCATATGAGGCTGTTTAAATTTTTACAGATGTTACCATTTTTGTTAATGAACAAATTTACATCTGCATCCTAACTCAAGCTACTGTCAAATGTGAATTTCTAAGAGACAAAAATGAATTATTATTACGGCCTGTACTGCAAACTGTGTCGAAGGTACGCATCAGTCAGGGCACTCCAAAAATAATGAAAAGTTGCAAATATTCTTCTACCTCAGATTTGTGAAATCCTCAACTGTTTAGCAAGTGTTTGTCATGTTCTGACAATAAAAAGTAGATGTATTAAAGGTCAATTAACTGTCTGTCTGGTTTCTACAAATTGAAAGAAAAATATGGTGATAATTATCTATATCGACTGTAATGAAAAAAAATTTATCACAATATTTTTTTGGGCCATATCGCCAGTAAAAGTGGAGCAAGAAACTACATTACCCACAAGCCTCACACTCACATTGCTCTTGGTGTCCAGCGGAGGGTCTTGAGGGTTCAGGCAAGCATGTGCTACTTTAATAACATGTTCAAGTTTCCTGGGTTGCTCCTCCACTTTAGCAGCCAGAAACAGAGCGGTGGGAGAGATGATCTGATTGAAAAGAGCAAAGAATTAATGTACCTTTCAAAATATGACAAAAATCAATAAACAATCAGATTACATTAAGCGCCAGTGCAGCCAATTAAAATACTGTGACATCCTCAAAATATTGTGTATACACAGGTCAAACAAAGACACAGAAATAAATAAGAAAATTTTAAGCATACTCACATTTCTATGGAATTTCGTAAAGGAGTTAAGCATGTAAAATCGGTGCATATAGACTATTGATGTGTTGATTGTAAGCTGGGATCTGTACAGTTTCATCAAGGAAGAAAAACACTACAAAATAGCCTCCTATATGCAATATAATATACAACAATTTTACAATAAATAAATAATAACTTTCATAACGATCAATCAAAACCAAACTAAAACAGCTCATAGTGCCAATTTACATTAATAAATTTGAAGAAAAAACTGAACAATAAACTATATTTAAAGGGAAAATACATTAAATAACATATTTACATAAGACAACACGCCAATAAAACACACCTTGTTTAGCCTTAACCTATTTTCGTCCCAATCACTCTTAAACCCATAAAAGATTACACCAAACAACCTCATTACAAGGATAAAGCCAGATTAAATCAGGTAAAAATAATATTAATCCAGAAATACGGGTTAGATCAGCATAAAGACACTGAATCACCTTCCTGTCATCCACACGTCTCGTTTCACACACTAACTCATGTTATACCCCAAAATACACTTTATTATGCATTTAAAAGGCGAACTGTAAAAAAATAAGGTGTTTTGTGTGAATTTTAACGCGTAAATCATCGTATTTCAGCCGGCACATTTTCCACTTGATCAAAAGCGGCAGCGTGCTAATATGCTAACGGCTAACTCTGTCACAGCGCTCCTGTTTTAGTGAAGGATACACGTTTAACCGCTGTCCCATATCCTGAATCAGGTTGGCTGCTTGCTGTCGGTATGAGAGCTCGCGGTCGGGTTCGACTCCGCAGCGGCGGGACGGCGTGTTTTCGAACTGTTCTCGGGTAAAGAGCCATTTGCTGGAGCCCCGCTGCACCGCCGCCATCATCCCACCCGCTTCCGCCCGCACTGCGCTCTACATCACCGTGACGTCAATGGGCGCGAGGACGAGCGCTGCAGCGACACGAGCTGGACGGAGGCGGTACGTGACACTCAAGATGGGGATCGACAACTTTTTCCCCTGGTTTCACAGACAATACTTTATCCTACCTACTCCCAGACAAAAGTGCATATTTGAGCTGTTTTAACCAAAAGCAAAGTCAGTGCCGTTGTTTTATCTAAAGACTCGCACCAGTAGCTAATGTTTTTTTTTTTTTTGTATGTAACTTTTTTACTGTTTAGCATAAAAATACCATACAGTGTCTGTGTGCCTTTTTTAAAAATTGTATTTATTTATTTATTTATTTTTAATGTGCATTCTGTGTTGGAAATGCCTGTTTTTGTTAGGGTCTGTGTGACTCCACCCACTGCCAATATTTCAAACGTACATTTTACACTACACTATAGTATAGGAAAATTACAATACTCTTGTAATTTCCAATTTCTTCACTTGCGAGAAATAAACCCTTAAAACACTGTTTTATAAAGGCACAAAGCCATATCACGGTTTCACATTATGTTTTGCCAACAAACTAAAATTGAGAGACCTTTATGTTAGGCTATAAGTTTCACATCTCATATGTGTTGGGAAAAGGTAGAAGAGCGAGTTCGGCAAATGGCGGATTCGAACTCGGGTTGAACGCGTCAAAAGCTACAAGCACCTCATGCACGACTTGCCAACGTCGATTTTTAGAGGCTGGCGTCTTTTTTTAAAAAAAAAAAGAAAGGCACTTAGTGCAAATATTATGCTCCGTTATCGGAAATGTTAAAAAAAGAAGGATTTTTTCTTCCACTCGATTGGGCCCTATAATGTTGGATAATGTTGGTGCATCCCATTAGAGAAGGAGGGGCGACTCTCTAATATTTTTGCACCCATTTCAATCTGTAATTCTTACATACCGCACCTTTAAAAAAGCTAATGCCCTAATGAACTCAGGCCTAAACCTGGCTTAATCTAAACCCTGTCTGTAAAACCAGGCCTTTAACTCTCTTTGACTCTTTAAGATATCTTTATAGAATAATAAAAGTATCTGATTTTTTTTAGATATACTAATATATGCAATAAAATATATAGTAAAAGTTTAAATAGGCCACTCTTTGAGGGAACAGCCATTTGGGTGTCCCAAACCATTGTGGACGTTATTGAGTATTCAATCTCACATTCAATCCCACGACTGGAACTGTGTTCTAGAAATACATTTCATATACTGTAGATATGAGGGTAGGTAGACACTACAGCCATAGATTTAGAAGCATAAGAAAAACGTTTACTTTCATAATCTATTGTAATACATTTCTTTGAAACAAGTTTTCCGTAACCAATGTTACATTATTTATATTAATAGCTGTTATTAACATGCCATTCAAGACAAACCTGTTTTCGTAATCTGCAATAACAACCTAGTCACACAAGATGTCGCTAAAGCCCCGCTACTAAATTAATTTGAATTGCAATTACAATTGTGAGTTCTTTTCTATCTATCTATCTATCTATCTATCTATCTATCTATCTATCTATCTATCTATCTATCTATCTATCTATCTATCTATCTATCTATCTATCTATCTATCTATCTATCTATCTATCTATCTATCTATCTATCTATTCTATCTATCTATCGATCTATCTATCGATCTATCGATCTATCATATTTTGCCAAATCCCAACGTATAAGGTTGATGAACTGTACGCTAACAATTTCTGTATAATCGTCACAATATTGTGGCAAAATTATTTTCTTTTCATGTGTTCCTTCATATATATTCAAATAAGTGGTTTCTGTGTGAGTTGAAGTGTGAAGTGTTTGTTTAATATATGCACACAGATGTTTGTTTGGTCACACGACACCAGAGCTCCCAAACGGGTTCTCTAAAATATTAACTAATTTTATTGAATTATAATACTTTTGAATTTTTTGAAGAGCAAGCTTTGTTTGTAAAGTGCACGCGGTGCTTCACACGTGTGTGTTTTTAATTAGAGAGTGTGTGTGTGTATATGTGTGTGTACGTGCGCGCGCGCTCGAGCGAATGATGCGCTGAGGCTCTCCAGCAGTGCGCATCTCCTCCACTCGCGACCAGGTGTCACATTCTTCGGATGCTTCTGACCATTTGAACCCGGGACCGAGTCATCATGACGGACCCTTCCTCAGCTGCTGACCCCACTGCCGGTCCTGTAGACCCCGGTCCAGGTGCTCCTGCTTCTGTTCCGGATCCAGCGGTAGTGGATCCTGCATCCATTCCAGCAAACGGACACCATTCGAACCAAGCAGACACTTTCAACATGGAGCAGCAGATGAAAATAGGAGAGACAGATGACAACGGTACGAGTTTGTGGTTAAATACTTTTAATAGAGTTTATTTGCATTGAAAAATACATAGAAAGTGGAGCACGGGGCAAGTTGTCACACGTTCACTCCAGTGAAAATGCATCAGTGTTGGTTTATTTGTGAAAGTCAGCTTCTGTACACAACATTAAAGTCTACAAAATGATATTAAAAATGCCTTTTACACACTACACACACAGACATTAGCCTACATTTAGGCTATTATAGGCTGACCCATGCATAATATATCACATTAAATGAAAGAAAGAAAAATATTTTACCTCAGAGTTTTGCAACGTGCAATTATTTCATTGTTTGAAGTTACAGTGTGTGTGACAACTTGCCCCGACCATATTCTGTGAACACAGATTCATTCATTAGGCTACTGATTCTTTTCTGAATGAATTCATCTGTAATTTTATTGCGCTCACTTAAATTCACAAAACAATATATAATAATTCGATATTTTCGAATTATTTTTTAAAGTCGGCATGAACGAAATGAAATGGAAGTTGTGGTTATTGGTCGATCTCATGTGAGTGTCAGGTTGCCCCGCCCTCGCGCCAGTAAACACGTCATCAAAGTAGATGAGAACTGTAGCTGCATGAGGCAAAGTTATTTTGATTAAAGATTACAAGGGCACATACATTTACAAAAATGATGTGCATGGATATATAATTTATAATAAATACTTCAGTATACCAATAAAAAATACTTCATGTAAATTTTGATTTCATGCTGACTTTAAATAATAATAAATTAAAAAAAAGCACTGCTAAAGAAAACAAGCATTTATATAATTGGACTTTTGAGTCAAATCTTTTGAGCCTGTGACTGTGACAAGTCTGTTTCAGATTTTTTTCCGAAGAAACGGCATTAAATTCCTCTGAGACACATGATGTAGGATGTGTTTAGATGTGAGGAAAGATGGCGTAATCTAACCGAGCACTGTCCCTCAGCAGGTCTTCTGGAGAGCAGTATGCGTCTGAAACCCCACGAGGCTCAGAGTTACAGAAAAAAGGCATTATGGGTATCGTGGGTCTCCATTGTGGTGACGATAATCTTAGCCATCGCTGCGTTCAGTGAGTATCTGGCCCTTCATCTAGAGCATCATGGACCTATTGATGATACAGACCTGTATGATGCCATATCCTGTTTTGAAGATGAGCTCTTAATTCTTTTGGGACTGTGATGTAGTTTTAAAGGACGAGTTCAGAATAGTGTCTAATTTTTTTAAAAGTTGCTGTTATTTTTACATAGAGCGCAGAATAATAATTTATATAATACCATATGTTAAATATATATATATATATATATATATATATACACGTGTATCTTTTTATATGTAAAATAATTTAGGCTACATAAGTCATTTAATTTTTATATATATATAATTAAATAAAAATCTAAATAAGATATAAATATATCTATATAATATAAAATATGAATATAAAATGTATATATTTATTTGATATATTATATAATTACCTATAGTAGTTATATTTTAATAATACATATTTTATAATCCATTTAATACTTTATGTATATATATATATTTAATATATATACTTTATATATACATATTCTTTATTATACATATTTATTATATATATATTTACACATTTTTCACGTCTGACCCGCAGCTGTGTGTAGTTTGGTTCAGTGCCACAAGCTTGATACACAAGATCTGGTTTGACTAGTTTATTCATGGTTGTTCTACTAGATTACTTTGATAATCGTCGTTGAAAGAAGTTGCACAGGATAAACACAGACATACGGGAACTTTGACAACCAAATACATTCATAGCCCACTTTATTCTCAGCTACAAATACAAAATATTCTCAGAGGTACAAAACTGGGAGACTGTAAAAATAGTTGTCATATAATGGAAAACAGTCTCTTGCTCTTTTGTAAAATTTACTTTAAAGGGGTTTCAAAAGAGTTTAATGTACTGGAAACAATTCTTATGTTCTCAACCGTACATAATTTACTATTATGTACTATATGAATTTTCCTGGATTACAGTTGCAGGTTTCTGGAAAACTGTATACCAAAAATGCAGTGCACTTAACTTGACCTTCCATTTCCAAAAGGATCTGAGAAACGTTTTAGGTTTTAATCGGCATTATGCCACAAATGCTTTTGATAGAGCTTAATTTGAACCCAGAATATTCCCTTAAATCATTAAGCTGGGATACTCAAGTTTGGTGTTACGCAGACTATTGTTGTTCTCTCAGCACAAAGTGCGCTTAATCATTTTGTAGACCCCTTTCAGGCTATGTGCTTTAATGTTGGAGCAACTGGTTTTAAGCCAACACAACACTCTTAGAAGAAATGGTTCTATTTAGAACCAGAAATGGTTCCATCCCCCACTTCATATATGGAACTATAGAACCATTTTTTTTGGTAAAAGGTTCTATTGGCCAAGTATGGAACCCCAGGGTTCTATATAGAACCCAGAGGAACCCTTTTTTAAGAGTGTATAGAACCTTTTAGGGGTTCCAAATATGTAGTGCTGATAGAACCTTTTAAGGTTCTATATAGAACCTTTTCTTCTGAAGACTGAAGCCCTGCACTGGATTTAATGTATCATTTTGATCAAGAATGGTTTCTTACTTGGTGCTCAATCCCTCGGGAACTAAATAACTCACCTTACACTTCCAGAGTTGGACGGGGACTCTGGGACTCACGTTGCCAGGCTGTTAAGATTCTGTCACATAGCAACTCCAGAGCAACGACGCTTGAGAGATGTTGTCATTTAAACTCCCCTTTATCAGTAATGGAGACAATATAGCTGAAATGATAGCAGACAACTGAGGGCAAATGATTGAGATTGACTTAATATTTTTGGTAAATTAATGTGATTTTTTTTGTGAATTAATTTATTCTACATTTAGTCATGGTGCTTGCTAAGGGCTTTTTGACCTAGCAACACCCTAGAAAACATTAGCAAGATCATAGCAACACCCATAGCTTCCTAGCAGCTAGCTATAGAACGAACAATTTGGTTTACCAATTTTATTTTGTGATGAGCAGTTGACTTATCCTAAATAGTTACAAAATAAATAAGTTCACATAAATATTAATTTGAGTTGAATTTTGTGGGAGAATAAAGAGTGCCGAGTCATTGAGGCACAGTCTAGAGTTAGCATTAGCATTTAGCATAATTCTAAAAAGAATTGGCACAAAGCCCCACTTCCTCTCCAGCACACTCGCTTCCTGTTCTTTGTTCATTGAACCAGCACATTTAAACACACACAAACTTGAAAACTACAAGCAAATATTGATGTGTGAACAAGCTGGGAAACAAAATATTTGATCAGTTGTTAACTGTTAGTCAAGGAATGGTTTGACAAGGCATTGATGTTTTGAACACGCATCAAAAAATTAGCGCAGTGCGTGAAACTTCTATGCTGAGTTAAATAATTGTTGCTAGTTTTATATACACAGTACATGAAGGAAATTAATGTTTTAGCATGTGAGATATAGTCACCGCCACAATGCTACAAATGTTGTGGGTGGCTGCTTTAACATTGCTAGGTGGTTCCTGGAATGTTCGGGATGGTGTATATGCCGTTGCTAGGGTGCTCTAGGTGGTTGCTAAGCTGTTTGTATGTTGTATGTTGTCCCCCTTGGTCATTACCAGTAGGTTAGAACTTAAAAAGTTAAGTTCACTGAACTTTTATTAGTATTCGCCTCACATAAGGGCATTTAAACAGCACTTTTTATAAGTGCACTAGCATGTAAAGAGACCCCAAAGTTATCAAATATGTACTAAAAGCCATGAAAATCCCACACAGTCTTCAAGAGCATCAGCGTTATATGTTTGGGTAGCGTGCATTTGGGTCAGTATGGGTTTTGAGAAGATCAAATCTGGTGGATTATGGTTTTAACCGAATTATCCTCGAATCAGTTCAGATATGATCAGTTTACTGCCAGGCGATTCGAGTCTTGCTATCTTCGCTGTAGAGCTTGTGAGGTTACACTATCTGAAGTGTAAGCGGGACGGCTCGTTTTTCATTAACGGCTGCGCTACTCCTGTCAGACTAAAGGTGCCGAAGGGTGGGGGGTTCTGTATGTTTTAGAGAAAGGGAAGGCATTTTGAGACTGATGAAGGCAGAAAAAAGCAAGAAGAGGAGAAGAGAAATGGTCTAATATATGCCAGACTCTGAGATCTGAATTCCCAGATGTCTTGAAGCTTCCAGTGCAGCCAATTAACACGCTCTCAGCGACAGAGTTTCTTCAGCTTCACACACTCGCACAAATAGGCTCGCATACCTCCAAACCTAATAAACATGTCTAGAAATGCATCTGCTGCGGGGAAATAAGCGCTTCTGTTTAAATGTCGGTTCTTGGAGGATTTACTGACTTACAAACTGAAGAAAACTAAATTAGTATGTGTGTGTGTGTGGAAGATTTTCTTGCGGCATAGAATGTAAATATCACACTGCGAGGAGAGGTCACAGATAGAGGAGGGGTAGTTCACTCTCATATTAATGCATTCAGCACTACCAGCCTGTAAAAGCCAGCATGCCAACTCCCATAGAGCCCCTGAGTCTAAAAATAAAAGATGGAAGACAGAGAGAGAGAGAGAGAGAGAGAGAGAGAGAGGTGGAGGGTGCTTTGCCCTCTCTGCACCTCCTCTGTTCTTTTAAAACATCAAGCGAGTCAAGTAAACGGGTTTGTGAAAACAACTAGACGAAAAGCTAAAAAGAGTCACAGTCTCAGAGATGGTAAAAAGTCTGAGGAATATCTACTGGTATAGACTATCTTAATATGTTAACTTTAACATATTAGTTTTTGCAATAACATTACATTTAGCAAACCAATTAGTTTACTTTACAGTTTACTTTAGTCGTTGTCTTAATTTCATTAAGTGAGCATAACTTAATTGCATCAAGTTATTCTTACCTAATCCATTTAAGTTTTGTCACAAACTTCTGTCTGTGATCTGAGGAAGTGTACTCAGTGTACCAGAGTGCATTGCAGCATGAATAAGTTAATTGATTCGTTATTCTATTTTTGGCTTTATTTTACCATTACAATTTTATTTGCTATCGTTATTGGGGTTATAACGATAGTTATAACGTTAGTTATCACAACATTTTTTCTTTTGTCAAATCAACTTAAATAATTTATTTAGTTCAGATAACATATAATTTTGAGTTTCAGGTGGTTAAATCATCCTCCTTCATTGTATTAACTCACTTTTTCCATTTCAATGAACTTAAAATTTTAAGGCAACCAGGTTACTTACTTTTTTAAGGTAAACCAACAATATTTTTTACAGTGTACTTGCAAGATGGTACTCAAACCAGTCAAGTAATGTTTACAACTTTTTCTGAGTAACGAAGGCTTAGCATGCAAACAGTACAGATTACTAAGAAATTTTAAGTAAGTTCAACAAATTATTGGACATTAAGTAAAGTTAACAAAACATTCTTAGTAAGAAAAATGTTAGATTTAAGGGTTTTATAGTATTGTAACTGAAATCTGCTAAACATTTCAGTTTTAGTATTAGTGTTTGCACTTTTATTAAAATTTATTTTAGTGTCTGATATCTACGTAGATACCAACTAAAATATACTAATTTATTATCTTTAACGTATTAGTTTTACGGTGTGTTGTACACGGGTGTGTGGGTTGTAGTTGCCAAACCACATAACATACCGGACGATACCAAGAACTAAAGAAACTCAGGGATTAAGCACATACAGGAAAGAAGGAAGGATCCCTTTGAAAACTGTTTGCAACCGCTTTAACATAACCAATCAAAAACCATAAAGACAAACTATTTATTCATCTATTACTACACTCTTAGAAGAAAAGGTTCTATGTAGAACCTTAAAAGGTTCTATCAGTGCTACGTATTTGGAACCCCTAAAAGGTTCTTTACACTCTTAAAAAAGGGTTCCTCTGGGTTCTATATAGAACCCTGGGGTTCCATACTTGGCCAATAGAACCTTTTACCAAAAAAATGGTTCTATATAGAACCATTTTGGAGTTCCATGTATGAAGTGGGGCATGGAACCATTTTTGGTTCTAAATAGAACCATTTCTTCTAAGAGTGTATTTAACCATGTAGAAAAACTATTTTAGCTGCTACAGGTATTAGCAATACCTTTAGTTTAAGTTTTTATAGTATCATAACAACAACACTGACCAGTCAAAAGTCTTTCATTTGACTGCAAAATTGTTTCTCGTAAATGTCCTGTAAGTGATAACAAAATGCAAATTTATTCACCAACTCTGACACAGAAACTAGATCACATTCCCTGTTTTGGTTTGTGTGTGTGTGTGAGGATGCTTTTGTGTGTGTCAAAAAGACAGACCGAGCGGAAGACAGGTTTTTTTACAGCAGCTGTTGTGTTGGATTTCAACATTCTGCAACTCACCAGCTATAAAGATTCTGCCCTATTTTCACAGACAAAAAAAAAAACACCTAAAGGAAAGCACATAAGGCTAGATTTCTTAAGCAGTCAAGGACAAGATCTTCAAAGAGTTTTATACATCATGCGCCACTCATACATCTGAGAATAACTGTCACAACGCAGTTCTTGCCGCATAGCAGCAGCATGTTCACTCAGTGTGATACATGTAACGAAATAGATTTTACACGTTCCCACAAAATCAGTGTTGTGGTATTTTTTGTTAGAGTACTGTACGAGTTGTGCAAGTTAAGAAAGAAAGCTAACGTGCATGTGACAAACATCATATGAATGTTTTCGGTTTCCACCAGGATGTAAAAAAAGTGATTCTGTATCTCAAAATTCTGATTTATGTTTCGCAATTCTGATTTTATAATTCACAATTTCGAGTTTTGATTTTATATCTCGCAGTACAGACTCCATAACTCCTAATTTTGAGTTTATATCTAACAATTTGGACTTTTTTTGCCCAAAATTGTGATTTTATATCTTGCAGTACAAACTTTATAACACAATTTTGAGTTTATATCACAATTCTGATTTTTTTCCTCAAAATTGTGCATTTATATCTCGCAATTTGGACTTTATAACTCACAATTTCAAGTTTATATCTCACAATTCTGAATTTTTTGCCCGAAATTTAGATTTTATATCTCGCAGTACGGACTTTATAAATCGCAATTTCGAGTTTATATCTAACAATTCTGACTTTTTTCCTGAAAATTGTGTGTTTATATCTCGCAATTTGGACTTTATAACTCACAATTTTGATTTTATATCTAACAATTCTGACTTTTTTCCTCAAAATTGTGTGTTTATATCTCGCAATTTGGACTTTATAACTTACAATTTCGAGTTTATATCTCACAATTCTGAATTTTTTGCCTAAAATTGTGATTTTATATCTCGCAGTACAGACTTTATTACTCGTAATTTCGAGTTTATATCTGACAATTTGTACTTTTTTCTCAAAATTGTGTTAATATTCTCAGAATTCGGACTTTTGTCTCAATTTCGTAATTATAACGCACAATTTCAAGGCTAAATCTCACAATTCTGACTTTTGTCTCAATTTCGTCTTTATAACGCACAATTTCAAGGTTAAATCTCACAATTCGGAGAAAAAAGATATAAACTCACAATTGCATGAAAAAAGTCCGAATCGAGACTTTATATCTTGCAATTGTGAGATGTAACCTCGAAATTCCAAGGAGAAAAGTCAGAATTGTAAGATAAAAAGTTGCAATTAACTTTTTTGGGGGAATTTGCTGGCAGAAACCAGCTTCCGTGAATAGCAGATCAGGTGACTTGTGTATCTCAGATTTTGCAATGTTGACTTTTTTTACACTACAAATCACACTGCATACTACAATATCAGTTTAATAACAAAATAAAACTAAATCACATTAAGTTTAATGAGCTTAATGAAGGGGATTAATGAGCACATTCCCTGTTAGCTGGCTTGTTAGTTAGCCCAGGTCTGCATCTGTGACAGATTGAAGCTGATTTCTCCCCAGTAATCCTGGATACACACAATACTTCATTGTGATCCAACGATATTCTATGGTTTTTCAAGCTTCATAAGTTTCTTGATCAGCTCGGGCCGCAGTATCAGCACTCCTTGAGGAAGCTGCTGACTTCACATGAAAATCAGCATAAATATGACTTCTTAATGAGCAGGCAATGGTTTCAGCTTACAGACACACGGCTCTCCATAAACCCTTTCCTGTTACCCAAAATGCTCTGCATGTGGTACAACTAAACTCCTGAAGGCCGTCGTAAGATTAAGATGTATACGTTGTTCACGAGACAATGTGTGTGGTTCTTTAGAGTGTGTCCGATGGGTTTCTGAATGGCTGCACTGATTATAGATGTTTTATTGACGCTGTCGATAAGTTTCTTGAGCATGGCCTCTTGAGGACTTGAAATCGTCTGGCGCGAGATGTCTAAAACAGAGTGGATTTCTCTAAAAGGAACAGAATTTATATTTAGAAACTGCTAAATCTTTAATCTCATGCCGCAGCAGCTCCGTTATTCATTTTTAACAGGTTTTCTGGGGGACAGAGTGTGCATGTGTTTGTTTTTGAGTAATGACTTTTTCCATTTAAATGTGTGCGCAAACTTTGACTAAAGGCACGTTCATACCAAAAGCGATAACAATAACGATAACTTTATTGTTAATCGCCCATGGTGGGAACGGGCCTAATGCTGTATGATTTTACTGTGTGACAGAACTCTGGCAGGACTGGACGTTTGCATCTTCACCTTAAATGGATAGTTGACTTTGAAATTAATTTTTGGTATGTTTTAGCTTACCTCAAGGGCATCCAAGATGTAGGTGTCTTTGTTTCCGCAGTAGTTTCAATTTTGATATTTTTAGGTCAAACCGTTCTTGTCTGTCAGTCATATAATGGAGGTCTATGGTCACCACCTCAAAGAGCATGAACAGAGAAGTCCAAATTAAACATGTTTAAATGACTCGTAAATGTAAGTACACATTGATGGCCTAAGACACGAAACGAGCGGTTTGTGTGAGAAAACAGTATTTATATCGTTTTTACCTCTTCTTAACACAGCCACCCTCAGATCACTTGAACATGGCTGTGATTACAAGAGGTAAAAACGATGGAAATACTGTTAGTTTTCTCACACAAACTGCTCGATTTGTGTCTTAGGCCATCAATGTGTACATTTAGAGTCATTAAATCATGTTTAATTTGGACTTCTCTGTGCATGCTATTTGAGGTGGTGACCATAGACCTCCATTATATGACTGATAGATACAAACGGTTTGACCTAAAAATATCAAAACTATAACTACTGCGGAAACAAAGACACCTACATCTTGGATGCCCTTGAGGTAAGCTAAAACATACCAAAAATTAATTTCAAAGTCAACTATCCCTTTAATTTCATCCAAGCTGACCAATTTTTGGTTCCTAATTCGTGGTTATAAAAAAAAAAAATAGAGAACATTTTTAGAACATTAGGAATTGGTAACCAAACAGGAACCATTAGGGGAATGTTCTGATACTTCTGCACCACATTTAAACTATACTGTACCATACCACACTCTAAATGACTATACTTCACTATACTCTACTGTGTGCTATTGTGCTGTACTGTACAATCAATTGGGAAACAGAAGCACCGATAGCCCTGAAATGCAGATCTGGGCACCTTTGAGAGTTTGGCTGACCCTGTAGAGATGGATGGAATATCTTGGATCGCTCATCCAGTCTCAAGATAGAGGATTCAGGTGCATTAGAGGTCAATATTAGGTCGATAACTGGACATGAGCCACAGTGCTGTTTGGGTAGCTCAAATCCACACTGTGCTGACATCACTGTGTGAAGAGATGAAATCTGATCCAGGCCACTTTAGCTGCTAGAAATCATGCAAACGCACAGCTTTAAAACAGGGGAATGCGGATAAATGGATAATGTTTAGGTGTATATTTCAGACAAACACTTCAAATCAAAATCAATATTAACAATATACACAGTTGAGTGATTAGTCACTGGGTACAGTGAAAAGTAGAGAGGAATTTAGACGCTCATTAATTCACAATGTTTCCATTGAGATGTTAAAGGAATGTTAATCAGTTTTTCTGACTAATTTTTTATATTTTTTATTGTAAAATCTATTTATTTACGCATATTTAAAGTTTTCCCAAATAATGAACAATTTTAATTGTAAAATATTTTAAGTCATTTATACACTTTGTTAAATAAAAATATGTTAAACACTTCACATTTTATTTTTTATTTCATATGTATTTATTATTTTTTAAAGTAAATCAGACTTAAAAATTGTTTGCCCAACCAACTCAATATTTCGTTCATTTAAAAATAATAACAAACACATTTAAAGTTTGTCCAACTAAATTTTTCATGGTGAAAAATGTATTTATTCAAAAAAAATAATTCTTCACACTTAACTTTTTCTCATTTCTTTTGCAGCTGTTTCTATAATGCGGCATAGTGCATCAGCCTTTGGGTTTGCTGTAAGTCTGACACTTCATATATTTAAATGTTCATTATTGAATAGTCTTTAATGTGTTAACGCTTCTCTTTATCACTGTTGTTCATTTGTTTGCAGTTTGACGCTACTCTCGACGTCCTGTCCTCCATTATTGTGATTTGGCGATACAGCAACGCCGCGGCCGTCCATTCAGCGCACAGAGAATACATGTGAGTACATGTGGTTTAAAGAAAACACGGGGAATGGGACGTGACCGCATGGAATGGGTCATAGGTTGCGTCCGAAATCATGTAGTATGAATGTAATCTGGACGCACTACATTAGCCAGGCTGTCATTATCATGTGACCTTCCATCATCAGTTGTGTAACTTCACTGCCATTCAAAAAACGGACACAGTAAAGTGTCCATCGTATGCACAATTCAGAATCTCGCCGGAAGATGAAGGTCATCCGGCTACTTGAGTCAGTGCTGTGAATTCGGACTTACTTCTTTCGACAAATACTGTTTTCATCTACTATATAGGGAACTATGTGATTTCTGATGCAGCCATTGTTTGTGCTCTGTGGGGATTCTGGGTAGTTTAAGTAGCCAATTAGATGTTTCTGGGCAACAAGGAGAGCAGAAGGTCAGATTGATCTTTCAAGGTAATGATGTTGAGATTTTGACATGTTCCTCGGCTGAAGGAGAACATGCTGGGCGAGCGAGCACGCTACAAATGACCTAACCAAACCATAGTCATTAAAACTAGCATTTAATGAATGTGTTCAGATGCGCCGATCCTTGTAAACAAACCTAGCATAATTTACCTCAGCAGGATTAAGCAGTTTGACGTTTCCTAAAGACCACCAGGTTTGATGGATGGAGGCCAGGCAGACAGATTCTCTGGTCCCCCGTGAAATGGCCCTTCTCTGGGTTTCATGTCTTTAGACAGTCTCTCTCTGTGTTCGGCGTCCCTTATCGGGTGAAAGACACAATAGAGATGGCAGAAGGGCTTTGTGAAAGGGAATTAAAGCAGAGGAAGCTGAGAAAGAGCGGACAAAGGCAGAAGTGTGCTAGACGGCAGAACACTCAGACCTGTAGCATACGTACAGTACACACACACACACACACACACACACACACACACAATGAATCAATTTCTAATGTGCAGGCTGGTGAAGCTGTGAGCTCCGGTCCCTAGGGGAATCTGCCGGATGCGGATCGCCGTGGAGACGGATTACATCGTAACGCAGGCTGCATTAGCGAGATGACTACTAGACTCTTACACTCTTAAACACTACTGGCTCGAGAGAATAGGGACTTTTAAATAGATCTCTGCATTTTGAAGAACATATTAGTGGGGCTTACTGGTGTAATAAACAGTACCAAGGCGATGCAATGCAGTTGCTTAGGTGTTGCTTGGTGGTTGTTAGTTTACTCAGTAACAAGTTTTAAAAGTAACTAGTTACTTAAGAAAGTAACTATTGCGTTACTTTCAAGTAAAATCAAATTTTAAATGTTCAAATGTGACCCCACCTCTACCCCTTTTTAACAGAACTTAAAACACATGTGCATGTTCAATTATTTATGATAAATCTGAATTTTATAATGAATATTATTATTAACTGAAACATGAAACATTGTACACGCATCTAAAAAATGTTGCTGTGGGACAAAATGAGACTAGCCTCCAATCAAATGCCATGTATGCAAGTTAGATATAATGTTATATAGTGGATCAATGCAAATAACACAAGAGATGTTTTGGAAACTTTGATATTTATTGCCCCTCAACAGGCCACAACTGGGCAAAATTAAATGAAGCTTGTTAAGCTGTTGAGTTATATGTTCTCATTAACTATATTATTTTATGTTTCTTACTAGGCTATTTTGTTTTTACTTACTAAAAATGTGCAAGTGCAAGAGTTCATTGTGCGCATGAGTGAACAAATGGGGACTTTTATTTTGGCTCAACTTGTGTTCCTTCCTTGAGATGAATGTTGTGCTGCTGCTCCCTCGTGCATGTTATGCTAAACTAACAAATAAATAACACTGAGAAATTGTATCTGGATTTTTCTTTAGTGGATGGATGATCGCAACATATTGTTCATGGACATGACGGACGGAAATAAAAACTTAACATAAGCAATATTACCATTTAGAGAAGGCTACTTTTGGATTATTTGGGCACGTCGGCATACCTGTCTCTCGTTGACTGACTGGCTTGTCCTGTTCCTTGTGTGTCCTGTCCGACTATAGGCTACGTTATGATGGGTCGTTCGCAATTCATAGCCGTTGTGTCGTTCGCGAGCGTAGTGATGATGGATCGACTCTTCTTCTGATTAATGGCGGATCATATCTTTACGATATATACCCCCACCTACTGGACTTAGTTACTACACAGGCGTGTGTAAAAAGGGTGTTGGCAAATAATACATCAAATCATAAAATAAAAAATGTATATAGTCTTTTACTTAAACCAGTATCATTATACAGACCTTATGCACCGGAGAAACGTGGGCGCCGTCATCTTTAGAATATTGTCTTTGAACTTCCGGTTTTGCGGTCGCTCGGTATATTTCTATGGCATCGCTGTCAAGGAGTAATTAGCTGGTGAAGTGGATTTACTAATTGTAGAGTTAACAAAAGTTATCATGAGCAGTAAAGTAGATGTCTTAGCAAATGTCGACCGGGAAATGTTTTACGAGCAGCAGTTCATTCATACCACAGACCGGAAGTCGCCCGCATCGCTGACAAGGGGCGGGGCTACATAAGGTCTATATAATTAAATATTTGCATCTTTGTCCCTGCATTCTTTGCTCCTGTAAAATATTATGAATATCATTTTCTGCATCAGCGTCTTTCCATTTCTGTCTGAATTTGAAATTTTTTTACAACTGAATAAAACATGGGTGACATCCTCCAATACTTTACATTCAGAGCATATGCCATTACTTTTACCTATTAAGGATAAAGTGGAATTAAGGCCTGTGTGGCCCAACCTCAATCTGGTTATCATACCTTCTTCGATGGATCGACTCGTTCGCGAATGAGCTTTTGAGTTCGCGAATGAGTGCGTTTGCCTAAAAGTAATAGTGTGCATAAAAGAAAACGCTTTTGTTAAGTTTCTAATAAAATGCAAGTTCGCAGCTTTTTAGATTGCACTTTTATTGAATTTTCATTTTTATGTATGTTTTGATAAAAAATATTTACAACACACTAAATATTAAATTCAGTCGCCAGTCAAAACAAACATGATCCAGCTAGCTCATAGGCATCTCAACAGCATCATTGGGGTTCCTCCTTGGCCTGATTGCTAGATAAACTAGATTAATCTGCTTGTCTTCATTTGGTTTTAATTTGATCTCCAGAGAGTGTAGCTGTGTGTGTTTGTTTGTTTGTATTGGTTTGACTAATTAATCACTAACCAAAAAGCAGATTTAACAGACTAAGCTCGCAAAGCCATTACAATCCGCGTGTGAGAAACAGAGCGGAACGGCTCTAAAACTTCACCAGATTTAACCCAGCTACCCCTGCGGCTGAGTAAACAGTGGAACAGATCTCGCCTATTTACCAGACTCAATTAGAGAACGACGTCCCTCGTCGTCTTCATTTATAAACAGAGGGCTTGACAGGCCTAATGAGAACGAGGCACTAAAGCGAGCAGAAGCTTCAGTCGTGTTATTAACTGACTCAGACACAGGAGGGGAGTTAGACCGTGAACTCAATAAAGCATCAGTTGAACTGATGCTGTGGGTTACTTAACGTACCTGTGTGTGTGTGTGTTTTCCAGAGCATGTGTTATCCTTGGGGTCGTGTTCATCTTGTCGGCCATCACTATCCTGGGGAAAGCGATCCATGATCTCGCCACAAAATTGCAACCGGAAGTGGTAAGAAAACAACAAACACACATTTGTTCATTCACTGACTCAATGATGTATTCATGGAATTAGTTGATTCATTCGTTTGTTTGTTTGATCATTCTCTGACTGATTGATTCACTGGATTGGTTGATTGATTGTTCCAGTGGTTGATTCATTTGTTTGTTCATTTACACTCATTATTGGAGTGCATTGTGGGATTGAATTAGTGGACTCAATAAAGTCCACTATGGTTTCAGACACCACTACAAATGGCTGTCTCCCCAAATAGTGCCCTATTTAAGGGTATAGGGGGGCGATTTCGGACACAGCCATGGTTCCAGTGGTTTATTTATTTGTTCGTTTTGTTCATTTATTCACTCACTGATTCATTCATTTGATTGGTTGATTCGTTTCAGTGGTTGTTTCTTTAATGTATTATTTCCTTGACTGATTGATTTATTAATTGGATTGGTTGATTGATTGTTCCACTGATTAATTAATTTGTTTGTTTGTTCATTCTCTTATTGGATCATTCATTGGATTTGTTGATTGATGGTTCCATTGGTTGATTCATTTGTTCGTTCATTTACTCAAGATTCATTCATTGGATTGATTGATTGTTCCAGTGGTTAATTCATTTGTTCATTCATCCACTCACTGATTCATTCATTGGATTGGTCGATTGATTGTTTCAGTGGTTGTTTCTTTAATTAGATATTTTTCTAATTCATTGATTTATTCATTGCATTGATTGATTGATTGTTCTAGTGGTTGATTCATTCGTCCGTTTGTTTGTTCATTTTCTTATTGAATCATTCATTGGATTTGTTGATTGATGGTTCCAGTGGTTGATCATTCATTCACTCAAGATTCATTCATTGGATTGATTGATTGATTGTTCCGGTACGTGGTTGAATCATTTGTTCATTCATTCACTCACTGATTCATTCATTGGATTGGTCGATTTGGATTGGTTGGTTTCAGTGGTTGTTTCTTTAATTAGTTATTTCCCTAACTCGTTGATTTATTCATTGCATTGATTGATTGATTGTTCCAGTGGTTTATTCATTTGTTCTTTTGTTTGTTCATTCTCTTATTGAATCATTCATTGGATTTGATCATTGACAGTTCCAGTGGTTGATTCATTAGTTGGCTCATTCATTCACTCTTTGGTTGGTTGATTGTAGCAACTAACTCTTATTCTATTTTCTAAGTGATTTGATTTAGTCATTTTCTAAATATTTTTCCATATATTTGCTCTTAAGCATTCATACTTTCGCATGTGTTTTTATTGAATGTAATCTCCTTTCAAGAGAGTCTCTCAGATGAAGGACACCACGTGCAAAAACCCAACACTTCATCTTTTTATGTCGCTGGTTGTGTGAGTTTTCCCTAACGGCGCCTGCTAAACAGCAGAAGTGTAAAGTGAATGAACATGGTGGAGACGAGGTGTGAAGTCACAGACGAGATTAGAATAGTCTGATATCGCTGTTGCCAGGCAACATCAAGAGGGGAAATAGTTTCCCTTAAACCAGTTACCCCTCCACTATCACTCACTCTTTTTCTCAGTCTATCTCTCCATTCGACTTCCTGTGATGAAACGAGACACCTAAAGCTTCGGTCTGGTACTGCATCTGGGGTGTAAAATTCCACGTTTCTTTATTGACATTTATGTTTCCACGAAGATCCATGGAACCTTTCCATTGCACAAAAGGTACTTCATAGTGTAAAAAGGTACTTAAGATTATTTAAATACTCTACACTAAGACAAAAATGGTTCTTTTAAGTACTGTTTACTACATAGTTAAACAGTTTTTATTTAAGTAAATAGGAAATAGGACCTCTTTTTTATCAAGAACACTCTCAGAAAAAAAAGGTACAAAAGCTTTCACTGGGGTGGTACCTTTTCAAAAGGTACACTTTTGTACCTAAAGGGTACATATTGGTACCTTAATGGTACCATGAAGGTACCAATATGCACCCAAAAGTGTACCTTTTAAAAAGGTACCGGCCCAGTGACAGCTTTTGTACCTTTTTTTCTAAGAGTGAACCAATAATAGCACATAATGAACTTTGGTAATGAGGCTTACTAGTTTTAAAAATGAAACAATCTTGTGTTCTTGAAGCATCCGCAGATTCCGCACACAAAATGTTCTAAAAATAAGTTTGCCATCAAAACCAAAGGAACTTAAAAAGGTTATATTGTTAGAACCAGTGATGACATAATAAGAACTAAAAAAGGTTCTACGATGACATAACGGAAATGAAAAACTTTTTTTATGATGGCATAACGAGAACTAAAAAGGGTTCTATGGGGGTAAAAAAGGTTCTATTATTACATAATGAGAATAAAAAAGGTTCTATCGTGTTTTGAGGAGTAAACAACATTCTATAATGACAACAAGAACTAAAAAGGTTTCATGAAAGAACTAACAATGCTTACATGATGACAGTTGGAACTTAAAAGGTATGACATAATGGGAAATAAATAAAGTTCTATTATGACATCATGGGAACTTAAAAGGTAACTATTATGCCATACGAGAACTAAAAAGGTTCTGTAATGTCATTTTCTTAAAAGGCATGAGATTGCAACCATTTTTGGAACCTTTGCTATTAAGAGTGTCGCAAACACAATTAGGGTGTGAAAGAGAAGACGATATAGGAGGAGACAGAGAGAGAGAGAGAGAGAGATGCTGTACTGATGTTTTAATCAGGACTCTGGCTTCTCTCTGGAGGATTCCTGTTCCTGTCTCAACGTGTAAAGCTTGGTTTTGGCGCATACAAGCGCCGCCTAAAAATAGATTCAATATTTCTCCCTCCCTTCATCTGCTGCTGATGTCAGAAACACTTCCCCTCCTCTTTTCTCTCTCTCTCTCTCTCAAATGCTCTTTCGTTCTCTAATGAAATGTTAATAAGCTGTTCTGAACAAGGTGTTTGAGATGGACTGCCCCCGTTTGCAATCCCATGTGTGTTTCTGAGCGAGATTGTTTTTCAGGTGCTATAAAATCAATACAACAATTTTCCACTGAATTCCTGTAATAGTCCCCATCCGAGCCGTTTGCACTTCCTGCCGTGAACCTGCTAAAATAAGAATTTTAAATAATAGATATACTTGCCAACTTCCCAAGTTAATTAATCACTAAGTTTGCATTACAAGTTTTCTGAAATGTTATGTTTAATATGCAAATGAGGCAGGTTTAAAATTCCTTTTTGGTTTTGTCGACATGTTAGAGTTGAAGGTTTTAATGAGGGGATTTTGAATATCTCTTTTTAATCACTCCATACATCAGAAATTATTGACGACTGACAGGAAATAAAATACATTTTCACCATTTTTAGAAATGTTGTATAGTTATAAATTATAAAATTATAGGCAAATGTTGTATGGCCAAACCCTTCAGTAAAAATCTTCAGAATATAGATAGAAAAATCATTTTGAGAAAACCGCCTTTAACACCTCTAGGGTCCAAGGTGTATTTGGGGTCCTTGAGATGTTCTGACATGTCCTGACATTTGTGCTTTTTTCAGTTTCTTATAAACATATTAATGGCACAGGTGAATTTACACTATATTTAGCACAACAGGGCTACCATAATATGTGAGCAAAATGTATGTACATGTTTGTATTTTTTGAGAGAATATTGGTTATTGAAAAAACTAAAAATGAAAGTTTCTGAAATAAGGCCACAAAACTAAATATGGCATGTTTTAGCTTACCTAAAAAAGCGCCCGCGCCCTCAGATCACTTGGACGTGGCTGTGGTTACAAAAGGTAAAAACGATATAAATACTGTTTGCTTTCTCACACAAACCGCTCGTTTCGTGTCTTAGGCCATCAATGTGTACTTACATTTACGAGTCATTAAATCATGTTTAATTTGGACTTCTCTGTGCATGCTCATTGAGGTGGTGACCATAGACCTCCATTATATGACTGATAGGCACGAACGGTTTGACCTAAAAATATCAAAATTGAAAATACTGCGGAAACAAAGACACCTACATCTTGGATGCCCTTGAGGTAAGCTAAAACATAGCAAAAATTAATCATATCCCTTTAATGATTTGTATTGTAATTTAAATCTACAGATGCAAAAAGATAAAGTGTAATAATACAAACACTTAAATGTGTATTTCGGATATTTTCTTTCCACTATTCTAAAAGAAGACGCGTTATGGAAGGCCAAATAGGCCAAAACCAGTGCATAAAAAACAATATTTCTCCCTGCAGACAAAATAAATGAAACATCTGACATAAATGGACTGCGAAAGTGACGAAAACGACACAAAAATATAGCCCTAATAATGATGTTTACAGGTCTTATATGGTTGTGTAGTTAAACCTACAATCATTAGAGGGACTCGACCATAAAAAAAAATGTGTGATGTGCGACTGCTTCCAAATCCCTGATATCTCGCTGAGATGGATCATCAGAGATTTTTAGAGAGAGACATTGTGGGATGTTTGTGGGCAGGCAGACAACGCTTGTGATAAATGCGAGGCCACAAGGTTGTTTTTAAACCTTTCAAGGAGGGTTAGAGTTGTTCGACACTGTCCGCGAGACACAAACCTCATTGGTTTCTGCTCTCTTCATCTGCCTGACATCAATATTGATGAGGCTGTCTCACCAGAAGATCCATCATACCGTTTTATGTGGAGGGAACAAGTGATGCATTGACTGAGCGTTTGTGTTGGACGTTATGTTTGATGTCGTTGCATTTTTCACGTCGGCAAGGCCAGCGGTGCAAATTTAATGATTCTGCTCAGGCATCCTTTGCATCCTTTTATTGACTCTGTGCTCCTTATTACCATTCATATTGCTTTCTAACATATTCATAGATACTTCTCATACTAGTTTTGCAGTGAATGCATACTATAATTACTTGCATGCATTGAATACTCATATTTGGACCGTTTACTGCACACTGTGCAGTGTAGTATGTTCTGAAACTGAAATATGCGGCAATAGACATCAAACAGTGTTATGTTTTTATCATCAAACGACTGGATTACCTTGCATGTTTAATTCAGCAAGTGTGCACTTAATGAGGTCATGGCAATCATTTAGTATGCTACTGTTTGAAATGTTTACTGTTGCACTGTTTTTTAATAGAGTAACAGTAAAAACAGTAAAACAGTGTTGTAGTAGCCTATATACATTTTTGTATGCATGGAAATGTGGCAACAATTTAGTATGCTACAGTTTGAAATGTTTACTGCATAGGTTTTAAATAAGTAACAAACAGCACTGAACAAAGCCCACCTTTTGCTATGTTCAGAATACTAGCATACTACTTACTGCTACATTTTTAAATGTTTACTGTTGCATACTGTTTTACACTTTAAAAACAATTCCATTCTGGTAGAGTACTACGTACTACATACTAGACAGTATATACTGTATTTATGCAGTAAGAAACACTTCAAACAGTAGAACGCTACAGTATTATCAGAACATTTGTCTACCAGCATGTTAAGTTCAGTAAGTACACTGCATACTATACACTGCATACTATATTATACAATACTATACACTGCATACTATGAATACTATACACTGCATACTATACACTATGCATACTATACACTGCATACTATGCATACTACATACTATACAATACTATACACTGCATACTATGCATACTATACACTGCATACTATGAATACTATACACTGCATACTATGCATACTACATACTATACAATACTATACACTGCATACTATACACTGCATACTACATACTATGCATACTATACACTGCATACTATGGATACTACATACTATACAATACTATACACTGCATACCAGTGTTGTAGTATTGTACAACTCGGACTCGAAACTCGGACTCGTCTCGGACTCGGTCTCGAGACCATATTTTAATGGTCTTGGTCTTGTCATGGACTCGTGTCCATTTGGACTCAGAATTGACTCGTACTCGAACATTTTTTTTTTTTAGGACTCGGAATTATTCCCGAGTCCACTCGAGTTCAATTAAAAATATTTTTCATGATTATTAATGTATGTTAATAAAATATTTCTTTAAATTGATTGACACGCCCAGTGATTGGTGATTTTCTAGTGCGCAACTGCGCATGACAAATTGTAATAAAATTACTTTTAACACCACCTACTATGTGGCCTTTTTACCCTAAACTGATCATATTTTTTAAACTCTAAGTAAATTCAGTAAAAAAAAAAAAAGGATTTCTCTAAGTAAATAAAAGTAAATTAGGTAATCAACCCTCACTGGTCTCGGTCTCGACTCGGACTCGACCGTCTCTGGTCTCGGACTCGACTCGGACTCGACTCTCTATGGACTTGGTCTTGACTCGGACTCGACTCTCTCTGGTCTCGGTGTCAACTCGGACTCGAGTGAGGTGGTCTCGACTACAACACTGCTGCATACTTTGCATGCTACATAATTTACAATACTATACACTGCATACTATGAATACTATACACTGCATACTACATACTATGCATACTATACACTGCATACTATGCATACTACATACTATACAATACTATACACTTCATACTATGAATACTATACACAGCAGAAGTAGTATGATTAGTAGTATACTATTCAGAATATAACCATGAACTATAATGAGATTATTGGAGCTTTTCCACTGCTGGTACAGCTCGGTATGGCTCAGTACGGTTCGGCTCGCTTGGCTTTTCCACTGCGTGGTACGACTCGGCACGGCACAGCTCGGTTCGCTTTAGCTAGGTTGCTTTTCCACTGCAGTTAGTACCGCTTTAAAGTGGGTGGGATTATAGACGGATCGATAACAGCGGTGGCTGTTACTGGCTATTTAAATCTAGCGGGTTTGGTTTCTTGTGTCGATGTCTATTGTTCGCAAATACAGTGACGCTGGTAGTGACGATTCTGTCTGATGACCAATCAGTGATCTGCAGTTTTTCACGTCACATTTAGTACCGGTACGGTACGCTTGGAACCTCAACAGACCAGGTACCATTTAAAGCGAGCCGTACCGAACCGTACCGTACCATGCAGTGGAAAAGCGCCATATGTGACAACAATGTAGTATACTACAATTTGAAATGGTTCCTGTTGACCATTTCTAAAATAATACGCATATATTTCCATTTCTAGTAAGCAGCTGTACAGTGATATTCCATTTCCCCCCTCCTCTCTTGATTTTCTCTACAGTGTGCCATATAAATTGCTGTTGAATAAAACACTGCACTTGACCCTTGACCGTCACATCAGGCTCAGTATGATAATGTCCGTCTCTTTCTCTTTCCCCAGGATGACTTCCTGTACAGCGTATCGGTTATCAGCGGAGTGGTGTGCACCATTCTGTCCATCTGTAAGTTCATGCTGGGGAAAGTCCTCACCAGCAGGGCCCTCATCACTGATGGTACGTTTCCCCGGAAACCCACCAGGTTACCGTGGTGATGGCCAGCCGGATTTATTATTCACAGTGCCATGGCAACGTGTCTGGTCTTATTTCACCTCAGCTCCTCCCTTTTCAACTTGTGACGGGCTCGAAGGAGCAGGATTGTACATGTGACTATATTGGCTCCCAAAAAGATTTCATTCCCATTTTCCACTGAATTTTACATTAAATACATTCCGTTTACGCTTAATAACACATCACGTTGTTTTTGTTTTGTTTAGTAGTATGTCTATGTTTTTCCATATATTGAAAGGTGGAAAGATATTCAAGCTCCAAAATGACAACAAATATGCTTTTATGACTTCAGGCAACAACATCAAACATTAAACATCGCATGGGTTTCTTTTATGGACGTTTTATGGCATTTTTGTTTGAAAAAGAAAACACTGAGAAAGAAAATTCGACAGATAAGTAGATAGACAGATAAGCAGATGGGAGTACACGGACAGACATTTATATATATATATATAGACAGATACGCACAGATGGACACACACACACACACACACACGGTTAACATGAAATCACAGGGCTTGTTGAGAAAAGGTGTGCTATTACTATTCTAACTGACCAAACTTGTAATTTTTGTAATCGAAATTACACACATACACAAAAAATATGGTGTAGGATTTACTTTGAAACTTGAAAAATTAATTTTAAACGCATTGAATTAATGAAATTTTGAAAGTAGAAAATGGAAATGTATTTTTATGTAAAACATACTCTAAAAATCTGTATTTAGAACTTTGAAAAATTTTAAATGGAGCAAATAGTGTACAATATTTGGTAACACCGAAATATTATTTTACAGTGTCCTTGTGACACGTTACTGTAAGTAGTTACTGTAGTAATAACTATAAATGATGCATCTTAACACACAACTAACCCTAAACAAACCCCTACTCCTAACCCTATAGTAAGTTCAATATTATTACTCTTAGTTATTACTCTCATATTCTTTAATATGCCACACACACACAGAGTCTATGCATCAACCATCTCAGTAGCACAAATACACACCCAGCGTCTTGCACACAAGATAATGTGAAACTCACCAGCTGTCCAAACATCCAGAACTGCCGCTACACTAGATAGTTATCACAGAAATGACTGATTATCTTCTAACAGAAGATTTATAATCTGTAAATATGAACAATCACGTCATTTAATAGCCAGGTTTGCTAATAAAAAAATGTATTCATCCTTGTGCAGTTCCAACCCCACATGAATTACACAAAAGTATAGATTTAGCAGAATGTTCAAGCTGCTCTTTCTGATATTTTTATATTCATTTCCAGGTTTTAACTCTCTAGTCGGAGGCGTCATGGGATTCTCCATCCTGATCAGCGCCGAGGTGTTCAAACACGAACCAAGTGTCTGGTATCTGGACGGGACCATGGGGGTTCTGATCGGACTGATCATTCTCGCCTACGGAGTCAAGTAAGAGTCCCAATCCAACTCAAATATGAAACTTTAAGGGGCACTATGTACATTTTGAGTCGTTTTTAAGTGTAAAAACAATGGAAAGTTTTTGAAAACGATACCGCTATCGTTATTGGCACCCCTGGTAAATATGCTCAAATATGGCTGTATAATAAATCCGCGTTGTTTATCCGTGGATATTGATTATAAGAGCATGTTTTGATCTTTCATTAAGAAAAATGCACAAAAATCCAACCTTTCATAGAAGTAAAAGAATTGAAAGTGTGTTTTCGTTGTCATGTAAATACACAGTCATACACAAACCATGGTTAATATCGTTAAATTAAACTAAAAATTAGGGCTGTCGAACGATTAATCGCGATTAATCGCATCCAAAATAAAAGTTTGTGTTTACATAATATATGTGGGTGCACTGTGTATAATTATTTTATATATATAAATACACACACATGCTTGTATATATTTAAGGAATATTTTCATGTATATACTGTATATAGATTTATATAGTAAATATATTTTATATATAAATAATATTTTTTTTTAAATATACATGCATGTGTGTCTATATATATATATAAAATAATTATACACAGTGCACCCACATATATTATGTAAACACAAACTTTTATTTTGGATGTGATTAATCGCGATTAATCGTTTGACAGCCCTACTAAAAATATGTATTTTTAAAAATTGAAATAAAATCAATATTACCTGAAATAAAACATAAAATACTTAAACTTATTTTATTTCAGCTGGATACCAAGGCAACATTTCACATTTCCGTTTAGTCGAAGTTGAAGAACTAAAGTAAATAAACGACCACTAAAAAAAATGTATGCATTTTTAGTTTCAGTAAGTTTACTGTAGCTAAAAAAACATTTTAAAAACAAAAGTTAAAAGTTAAATGAAACCAGAAACAAAAATAAACAATTCAAAATATTAAGAAAAACTATAATATAATTATACAGTGACGACATTAATAGAAACATTGTGCCATGTCTGTTCACTGTAGCACAAAGCGTGTCTATAAACAGTCATTTGATAATGTTCCACTTTCAGGCGTGACCCTGTTAGTCATTGCAACTGTAAATATGCCGAAGGTTTTAACTAAAGCCCCTGATAGGAACACTAATTATGTAGCATTTTGCTAGTTACATAGCAAACGATGCTCCCTAACATAATTTCAAACAATTATTATAATATATCACTAGCCTAGAGACTGTAATTAGCGTTTGACTCGTTGTAATGGAAATGAAGATGTAACATTCGGGGAATTAGTATGCGAAGTTCAACCGTAGCCTCACCTGGAACGTTTCCCACTGAAAATCGAACGTCACATGACTTGTTGACAGAACTTTAAGTAAATGTAAATCTATAAGCTGGAGAATTCCACCTGCTGTGTGTCCTATCCAGAAAGCACACAGTGCTCCATTAAGCGGAGGTCATTTCGTTTGAAGAGAGACAGGCTTGTCCTTGAGAGGTTATGGATTTTAGCCTTGTCATTGCGGCCTATGGGCCAATGAATACACATTGTTCTATTTACGCTTTATTCATACAGTTTCCAACCATTTGTATTAGTTAACACAAACCTAATGTGCTACATGTTTGTCAGTCATGCATAAATTAAATATTTCTGTAATAGTACTAATAAACTGAGTGTGGTTTATATACACAATAACCCGGTTCATATATTTATCGTCAATAAATCTCATTCATATGAAACTAATCCAATATATTGCTTGTTCACCCTCTAGCCATATTTGAACTGTTTACACTTTTTGTTTTCGCAAGGAACTGATTCGAATAAATGCATTTTAAAATATGACTATTTAAATATAATCAAATAGTGCAAAGTGTGTAATAAACTACAGCACGTTTTGTTGTTGTTGTTGAAAAATCTTATTATGACTGACATATATGCATCACGTTAAGTTTATTTGTTTGTTTATTCAAATACATTGATCGATTGATTGATTGATTACTTTTTTTATAAAGACATAAATCTTAAAGATCATGTCTTGAAGCCTAAATATTAAATTTTTTTAAATTCTATATTCTTTTTTAAATTCTATAATTCTATAAAAAAAATTCTATAAAATAGTCTATTCTATAATTATATAAAATTGAATTTCAAATAAAAATAGAATACAAAATTGAATCCGAATAAAATTTCACAATAGAAAAGCCTGGCATATGATAGAAAATGAAGTATGAATCGCTCTGAAAGTGCACAATTTGAAGTTATGTCGATACAATGTGACTAAAATGTCCAATTAATAAATCAAAGGGGTGTTTAAATTACATTTTTGTCGAGACTAAAAAAAAAAATTCTCGTGATTTTTTTTTTTTTGATAAACCAACTTTGTTGAAATTTCGATTTTTTTCGTAGTTAAAACATGCTAATTGTGCATTGCAGTGTAATATTATTTAATATTACCTTTAAACTTCCCACATTTGTTTCTGACAGGAAAATGAGTGAACTTGTACATTTCTTCCTCTTTATCCATCAGGTTGTTAAAGGACATGGTCCCGCGCGTCAGGCAGACGAGGAATTACGAGCGCTTCGAGTAGGATTCGGAGTCGGGACAACTCAACGCACATAAACACTCGTGTGGAGATTCTGTGGGAAAACACAACACATACACACATTTTACCTTGCCTCAGGGCAAAGGCAACCACAAACTCCCCCTGTAAATATGGATTTGAAAGGGAAAACTGACAATTACATGTATAAAATGTGTATTATTGAATTGTCGGAGCTGGCAATGAGCTGAAACGGGACGACTCGGAATGCGGCAACCAATTGGACATCTGATATTTAAAACCCAGATTAAATCACGTTCAGTTAAAGGATTTATGGGTATTCGTTTTTGCCTTGGGGCGAGACTTATTTTAAGTTTCTTCAAACAATCGGGTTATAGAGAGAGTTTTATCAGGTAAACTTAACACAGATTGTCTTTATTTAAATTTATTTTAGCTTGTTGTACTTTAGTAAAACTGTAAGGCTCGTCACATCTGTGAGAATTCAATTAGCTAAATAAATTGACAAAAAATAAACAAGGATTCATTACAATTTCAAATATTTTTACTTTTACATTCAAACTTAAGATTTCAATAAAATTTCGCAATAGAAAAGCCAAACATGATTTTAAAAAAGTAGTGTAATTGAACAAATTTAAGTTATGCCCAAAATAATTTCGCTAAAATGTCAAATGAATAAATTGAAAGAGGTTGTGAAACTGCATTTTTGTAGATAATAAAATGACTTGGAGTTTATCTTCATGAAAACTTCAACTAGTTTCGTTTTTCCTTGTTAAAACGTGCCATCAGATTGTCTACATGAACTCATGTATCCTATCAACAACTCAACAAACAGGGCATTTTCATATCGAATACTTTAATATCTATTGTAACATACTTGTCAATGTCAGAAACGTTAGAGCACTAGTCTACAAATCAACCGCATTAGAATAAACACGTGGCGTTTTTTGAAATGCTTCATTTGCTAGAATATTGTAATCGTTTCATCTTTCGCACTCCATTGAAACAGTAAAGTTCAGTGCAGTTCAGTAGCTTAATCCAGCCTCGCATTTAGCTTTCGGTGAAACTTGTAATTATTAAATGGCACACAAACGCGTTTAACGATACAAAGCCTTAAAACTTGACCCGTCTTGATGTGAACTTGTAAGTTCTGAAGTATTACATAGACTGTTTTGCCTTGAGATTTGGCTATTTAAATGTGTATTTGGGACAAGCCAAGTTTCTAAGCATTTTATGTAGCAGTTAGCTGGAGATTAGCAATTAGCAGATGGACGTAACAGTGCCGGTACAGCCAGTCAGATTAGGCTATTCAGTGGTGGTTCATAGTTGAAAAGCACATTTCTGCTTTAACGTTTACTCTTTTGGAGAACTGTCTGTATGACTTGCGCTGTTTTTTTCAGGCGTGTTGTCGAATTTACCGCCCTGTTATTTATTGACATTTGAAATACCTTAAGCCCTTGACAGAGGCACTAGGCACAAGCACACGCCCCAGAAAATGTACAGTTTCTAAAAGCACATTATTGTAGAAGTGTGCCGGGGACTTAAAACTAATGAGTCGAGATTGGGGCCATTAGAATGAATTAACACCACTCGAACAAACGCAGGCAAAAGCCGATGCTAATCCACGCCCGGGGCGTCGTGGAACCCGAATGTCATGTGATACATGAATGTATATACAACTATGTTGCTGTGGAGTACACATGTATATTTACACAGAAATGTCTGTTGTCACAGAAAAAAAAACGTTTATTTGAAAAATAAAGATATATCCTACAGATTCCTCAATCAATGAAAAACAAATGGTCAGTGTATTTATTTTTTTGAATGTCCCCCCCCCCAAAAAACAACATATACTTATTAACAGTTTACAAATTAGTCTGATGTGTGAATGCATTTCAGCTTAAAACAAAATAAAAGCAACTATTATTAACAGCGAAGTAAACCAGAACAATTGTAAAAAAAAAAATAATAAAAAAAAAATGGTTCCATGAGTAATTTGGGTTTCATTCCAATTTTTTGTTATTAACATAAACGCAGGTAAGAGTTACTGGCCACGATTTTCATTAAACTAATCTAATATCTTAAAACGTTTGTGATGGTCGTTAATATGAAGACCATAGCTACAGCTAAGCTGTACAAACACTTTTGAAACGGTGGCATCCTTCATACTGTAAACCAAATGTCACGACTTTAGTCAACGAGACATATTTGTGTGATTTTGCGTGTCGACAACCACCAAACGTTTGGCAAAACTATTTTACGCTAAATGCCGACTCTACTTCAGCTATTCAACTACTATTTCGGCTTTTAGCTAGCTAGCATTCCGCCTTCAACGCTTTTTATTTCATAAAGGAAAACGAACCAGACAGTTCTAGTAACCATCAGAAGGCACATCATGTAACGAGAGGAGACAGACCATCGTTCTTGGCTGAAGACCATCGTTTTACGTACAAACGTGTCGATTCCGACAAAGAGCAGAAACGCGAACATAAATCTATCGTATAAGTTAGAGTGGAAAACTAGAAGAGACCCATCTATATTTACAAATGTGCAAATGTTTACAGAAATCATACATTGGATAAAAACATCAAATGAGGTTTTTGCTGGCTTTTGCAATTAAACTTTGTTCGCAATGTTTGTCCAGAGTCTCAACGATAAAGGGAATTATGATATGCTTTGCTGTACTATTTTCATATAACGTTAAGTAAAATTGAACAGCTTTACGTTTAATATAGTTTTCATTGATTTTGAAAATCTCAAATCTCAGTTAATAGAAAAAAAAAACATAACTCTGGACAAGCATATGCGCTTACATTTAAATTAGTCTGATAAATAATATTTCCCTCTATAAAGAATTTTCTCTTCTATAAATAGTCACATAAAAATCAACAGGCAGAGATAAAGATCTGTATACAAAATAAATTAAAAAAAAACAACAAGTTTAAAACAGTTTTACAGTGTGTTGTAATATCTGGTGTCAAATCTTCGCTATAGTGCATTTTTCATTCCAAAAACACAAGTAATCATTTTGATGTTTCCCCCCCTATAATAGGCAGGCAAATTCAAGAATATAGACATTTTTAAATAATAAAAAATAAAAAAATGAAAACCAAGGCCAATTGGTTAACACAAAAAAGAAGAGAAAAGTATTCGATCCATGTAATGTACACTGCTTTTATACAGATATATATATATATATATATATGTTTTTATACAAATAAAGATAAAATTTGACAGAAATTTCTGGGTATTTACTTTATGCACATATATTTGGGTAAACTGAGCCACTTTTTGGCATGCAACAAAGTGACCCAATTTAGTCAAACTCAATCTACTAGCTTCATTAAAGGCACACTATGTAATATTTCACCACTAGAGGTCGTTTATTCAAAACAAAGGCGTAGCTTGATGACGCCTCGGTTTGGCGGAATCATGGGAGTTGTTGTCTTCCGGTGGAGAATATGACGGGACTCGATATTAGGCATGGTGGTAAATCATTGTAAATCAAAAAAACGAGATTCAAACAACGTGTTGAGCTGTATAACAATTGGTTTTCTTTCGATAAATGTACCCAAACAGTCGCCCACCTGTCTAAAAACACAATGTATTAGAGCATCTTTGGTGTTTCCATGGTTTCTACAAAATAAAACGGGAATTCGAGGGCAACGATGTCATTGATAGGCAATGCACAGACACGTAACATTGCTCTTGTGGTTTTTGATTTTTTCAAAAAAAAACTTACATAGTGTGCCTTTAACGGTTCGTTTGGTCAACCGGTTTGAGTTTTCATTTATACTGGCTGGTTTGCGAGGTGTGTGTTAAGCGTTTCGCTAAAATAGCTTACCTGGCAGTTCTCTGGTGCAGTACTGCGATATTTACCGTGGATAGTGACCAACACTGAAAACTCCCAGTGTTAGCATGTGCTGTTGAAAGTTGCCGTTTGCATCACAGCAAATAAACTACCATGCAGAATATAGTGGTACGTTATTTACATGTGAAGGCGTCATTTCACAGAGCCGGTAAGTGGAGTGTTCGTTACAGTGTTAAACTGGGAAAGTTTCTTCACAAAGTCCGCCTTCCCATGACTTTAAAACAACAGCCGTATTCGCACACACAAACACACGCACACACACTGCAAGTATCAGTCTTCAAAAGGGTGAAGTTCAGTCAGAGTCTTGGAAACATGGTCCTATGATGAAAGTCTGTTTTTTCAGAGAGAGAAGAAAAACAGCAGAACGATAAACTGGGCTAATGAGTGTCAGTTCAGTGTTTCCTCCATGCCTGCAGGTGGCAGTGTAGAGTTCTGATTCCCTGCACTCCGCTTCAAGTATGTCAGGCAGAAACTTGTTCAAGTTCACGCGCCCCAAAAAAAAAAAAAGGGTTTCTCCTCTCTCCATCCGTCAGTATTTCGGAAAGATTGTTTTCTCTTTGCCGAGAGCTGCCACAGTCCAGCGTTTCACTTCCAGACGTCTCCGTACGCTCGGGTATGGGAATAAAACAAGAGTTGAATTACTCAGAATCCTTTAATCGCATCACCGCACATTAAACACTGGCACTGTCCACGCATTGCACTATGTAACAGTCCGTTCCTGTCCAGTAGGGCAGGTTTCGAACACTGCCTGGTTGGTCGTACGGGGTTGCCGAAGTGTGTGTGTTATAGGCAGTCTTTGCACAGCGCCACCTGGCCTTTCATGTAGTCTCTGCAGGGACAGATGCGCGTGAGGGACTGATGAGCCCCGGCGCAGCTGAACAGCAGCAAGTCGGACTGGAACACGCAGTGCCGCGCCGATTCACTGTAGGCGGGGACTACGATATCACTGGCGGACTCCACCGTCTTACACTCAACACCATACCTGGCCAGCAAGATACGGAGAGAGAGCACTTGGTTTTTGGACATGCAGCAAGATTATCCCATGTTTTTTTTGACATTGTATGCAGCAATACCATGTTTTTATACGCCATAGTAATAATATAGTGCTATTTGAAGGTCTTACAGAGACATGATATTATCATGTTTTTAATTAATGCGAAGTAAATTAAAACGTAATAAAAATATGCATATAATAAATTATATTTACAATTAAATATGCAAGTATTCATAATTTAAATATACAATAAATATTTATATATGTATTAAAAGCATTAAAATACATATTTGAAATATAAAAAATATTCATGGAAAATGAAGGAAAACAAAACAAATATGCATCTAATAATAATTATATTTAAATATTAAATGTAATATATATAAACAAAAATATATATGGAAAACAAAACCTTTTTAACATTTGATATTTAAATATAATTATTATTAGATGCACAGCACCACTGATGCCGATTTTATTTCCCATATATATATATATATATATATATATATATATATATATATTAATTATTTGTTTATATATATTTTATATATATATACATATATATATATACAAAAATATAAATATGTATATATATATATATATATATATATTAATATGTTAAACATATATATATAAAAATATATATGGGAAATAAAATCTGCATCGAATACATAATATTAATAATTAAATATAAAAATACTTATAACATTAAAAATACATATGATTAAATAAAAATCTAATCACATTCATGAAAACTAAAGGCAAACTAAATTAAAATAACCATCTAATAAATAATATTTATATTTAAAATTAAAATATAATGAATATTTTAATGTATTATAAAATATATATATTAACAAAATTAATATATGTGTGTGTGTGTATGCGTGTGCGTAAATATATATATTCTTATGTAATATATATTTAAATAAATTTATATTATAAAAGAATAAAATAAAAATAAATTCTGAGCATTAAAACAATTATAATCATGTACATTCATTTTAAAAATAAGAAAAACATACCAACATGCACATGATTAAATCACATAAAATTCTTTTCAGGAATTCAATTAATATTCTAAATAAATACGTTTTTTTATAATGACACCCAGGTTGTTTAGAAAACGACTCGGGAACAAATAAACAGATTCTGAATTGCGATTGCAAAGCAGACGGTCGATAAAAGCCCTGTGAAATGCAACGCTGCCCTCTGCTGTCTGGATGAAGAACTGCGGTGTGTGTGTGTGTGTGTGTGTGTGTGTGTGTGTGTGTGTACCTGGCCAGATCCTTGTCTTTATTGAGATGCTGGAAGAAGGAGGGCTCACAGATCAGCTGCTCTTCCTGACACATCTGCTTGCAGGATTTCCCAGCCGGAGCCAGCTTCACCTGCAGGGAGCTCAGAGGAGGCCACATCACCTGACCGTGACAGAAGTCCTGCACACACAGACCGGTCGAGCGAGCATTCTAATGTCAACGTGTGTGTTTTCACAGATCACGTGATCATCTTATGAGATTCAGTCACAGGTGTACCTGGTTCTCGATGAAGGCGTTGACGCGCTGTAACATCCCCTCGCAGGTGAACTCGTACGGCAGGTACGGCTCGATCTGAAGACGAACATCATGTTCAGAAGAGAGCTAAATATGGCATTTCTGATCTCCTCAACAGTAGAAATGATTAACAAGTCAGGTCAATTGTGCTTAAATACTATGTTATGTCCTCATTTAGGGAGTGGAGTAAATGTGTGTATGCTGTTTTGTAACCTAGTTAAATTTAAAAAACTCCTTTAAAGGGTGACCTCAGAGAGGAAATGGCTCATGGATTAAGTAAATAATATTTAGAATACATCGATATGCTTCTTATATATTAAAAAAACATTATTATTTTCATGTATTATATTGATTATATTGGTTTGTGTATGTTTGGACATAATATCAGGAAGTGCACGTGTGAGATGTACCTTCTGACTGAGGATTGCTTTAATGGCGTTCTCCACCTCTGCAGGATCATCTATGTTGACCGTCCAGACGTGCGGCCGCCCGATGTACACCTCGGCATAGGGGTGCTGGGAGGTCAGCTGGGGTCAAAGGTCAAGCGGACGTCAAACACGACGGATGGCCAACAGCAAAAACTCAGCAAACTAATGATAAACCAATAAGAATGAAGTACCTCTCTGAGCGTGGGTTTGCCCTTGAAGAAATCGGTGTTTTTGCTGCTTTTAGACGGGTCGAACCTTGGGTTCAGGAAAGCGCAGCCATTGGCTATGGCCTCCAGAGGGGCGGGGCCTTCGTAAGGAAAGGAAAGCCCAACAAAAAGCTGGAGAAGAAACAGAAGTCTAGTCATTTAAAATAGTGTTATATTACATAATAAATATTACATCAATTAAAGTAACAGAGAATTCAGTGAAACGAGGACTGAAACGTGTTATTCATGTGGTGTTTAATGTCAAAATACAGTTTAATATTCTTATTTTTATATTAAAAATAACTTTCGAGGACTGAAACGTGTTATTCATGTGGTGTTTAATATCAAAATACAATTAATATTTCTATTTTTATATTAAAAATAACTTCTGAGGACTGAAACGTGTTATTCATGTGGTGTTTAATATCAAAATACAATTAATATTCCTATTTTTAAATTAAAAATAACTTCTGAGGACTGAAACGTGTTATTCATGTAGTGTTAAATATCAAAATACAGTTAATATTCCTATTTTTAAATTAAAAATAACTTCTGAGGACTGAAACGTGTTATTCATGTAGTGTTAAATATCAAAATACAGTTAATATTCCTATTTTTATATTAAAAATTACTTTTGAGGACTAAAACGTGTTATTCATGTAGTGTTTAATATCAAAATACAATTAATATTCCTATTTTTATATTAAAAATAACTTCTGAGGACTAAAACGTGTTATTCATGTAGTGTTAAATATCAAAATACAGTTAATATTCCTATTTTTATATTAAAAATAACTTCTGAGGACTAAAACGTGTTATTCATGTAGTGTTAAATATCAAAATACAATTAATATTTCTATTTTTATATTAAAAATAACTTCTGAGGACTGAAACGTGTTATTCATGTAGTGTTAAATATCAAAATACAATTAATATTCCTATTTTTAAATTTAAAATAACTTCTGAGGACTGAAACGTGTTATTCATGTGGTGTTTAATATCAAAATACAGTTAATATTCCTATTTTTATATTAAAAATAACTTCTGAGGACTGAAACGTGTTATTCATGTGGTGTTAAATATCAAAATACAATTAATATTCCTATTTTTATATTAAAAATAACTTCTGAGGACTGAAACGTGTTATTCATGTAGTGTTAAATATCAAAATACAATTAATATTCCTATTTTTAAATTAAAAATAACTTCTGAGGACTGAAACGTGTTATTCATGTAGTGTTAAATATCAAAATACAGTTAATATTCCTATTTTTATATTAAAAATGACTTCTGAGGACTGAAACGTGTTATTCATGTGGTGTTAAATATCAAAATACAGTTAATATTCCTATTTTTATATTAAAAATGACTTCTGAGGACTGAAACGTGTTATTCATGTGGTGTTAAATATCAAAATACAATTAATATTCCTATTTTTATATTAAAAATAACTTGTGAGGACTGAAACGTGTTATTCATGTAGTGTTAAATATCAAAATACAGTTAATATTCCTATTTTTATATAAAAAATTACTTTTGAGGACTAAAACGTGTTATTCATGTAGTGTTTAATATCAAAATACAATTAATATTCCTATTTTTATATTAAAAATTACTTTTGAGGACTAAAACGTGTTATTCATGTGGTGTTTAATATCAAAATACAATTAATATTCCTATTTTTATATTAAAAATGACTTTTGAGGACTAAAACGTGTTATTCATGTGGTGTTTAATATCAAAATACAATTAATATTCCTTTTTTATATTAAAAATAACTTCTGAGGACTAAAACGTGTTATTCATGTAGTGTTAAATATCAAAATACAATTAATATTTCTATTTTTATATTAAAAATAACTTCTGAGGACTGAAACGTGTTATTCATGTGGTGTTTAATATCAAAATACAATTAATATTCCTATTTTTATATTAAAAATAACTTCTGAGGACTGAAAGATGTAAATAATGAAATGTTTAACATGCAGATTCAAGTCTATATTAAATTATCATATTACTAATATATATATATATATATATATATATATATCTTATTATTGGTAATATTTTCATAATTTTATATTAGTAATATGATAATTTACATTTACACACTCCTGAAGGTATTTGGGGTGAAATTCAAGCCTGAACGAATGAAAGCTGCTTGGGTTTCTCATGAATCAGGCCTGATTTCCATCTCAGCATGAGCAGGTCCGCTTTTAGACCGAGAGATGTGTTTAGTTGATACTTGAGAGGGAATTCTGGGACTTCTGAGACACTCATCAAACCAAACTTGACAGCTGATTCCCAGAGCCAATGAGGGCAAAGCAAATCTACCAGCAATAAAGCAATAAAACATCAGCAAAGTGCAGATGTTCGAACTCTCGCTGTGAAACGAACCATAAGCTCAAAACATCAGCTCTAATAAAACCCAACAGTGAGAACAGGTGGAATGTAAATCTGGCCTTCTCTTTGATACTCAATCCATGTATAATAGTGTTGTATTCAACTAGATGACTTAAGCAAATGTTTCCATGCGGTGCGGCCCATCCAGACTTGCACAATAGTGTGTGTGTGTGTGTGGAAGTGTGAGCTTCACCGGACACACAATGGCGGATCTGTGCTGCGGCCGACAGAAGAACACACGCTTCACACGCTCGTGTTGGCCAATCAAATTAACCCCTGATGCACCATTCATCATGCATTTCATTTATGAATAATGTTAGTTTAACCTCACTTACTTCATAAAACAGCTGGAAATATTTCTAAAAGAATATATACAATTACAGTTAGTTTAAGCATTCAGAATTACAATTACTTGAACCAAAAATAGCTATTTTTATAGCTTGTAATATTAATAAAACACTAATTATAACAAATATTATTGACTTTTTTTAATACAATTTTATTTTAAATATTTATTTGTAATATAAAATTGCATACATGTATATGATAATTTAAAATATCAAATAAAAATGATCATCAATATTAATAAGAATAATATAGGCCTAAAATATATGTATAATATGTTTTTAAATATTTATAAAACTAATTACAACATAATTTATAATAATTATATGTATTGGAATATTACTAACTAGTTTATTATTAAAGTGATATTTAATTGTGTTCTAATCAAAATTATCAATAATAATAACAACATTAATAAATTAATATTAATAAAACATTAATATTAATAAAACACTAATTCTACAAATATAAAAACTAATTATGAGAAATACGGTTAGTCTTTAGTATTCATAATTATCTCCATTTGAAAAAAAGAACATTAAATATATACTCATATAATGTAAAATAATAATATATAATATTACTATTAAAATTATAAATAAAATAAAAAAATTAACAAAAGTATAAAATATAAAGTTTAATATTACTATTAATATCATCAGAACACTAATCATCCACGCTAATATTTTTTTATAATTACAAAACACACAAAAACGAATATTATTTATTGATTTATATGTATTATAAATTATTAACTTGTATTTTATTTTTAAATAGGTATTTAAAAAAATATTAATAATAATAATAATAATAATAAAAAGTAACATTAAATATATGTTAAATATAATAAATGTGTAATATTAATAATATTAAAACACTATTATGGATATATATGCATTACAAAATACTCATAACACATTTTATTAAATAGTTATATAATCAAAATAATAACAATTATGATATAATATTAACAATATATACCATTGTTATTTAAAATGAATAAATTATTATTATGTATAAAAAGGTATCAAAGATTTCTGTTGCTGAACTTCCAGTGTTTACCAGCAGGAGGCAGCAGAGAGGTATTAGAAAAACAGGCTGAAAGTGTAATATGGCTGAAACCGCGCCAGAGAACGATGGAGACGGAAACGAGATGTCTTCACGTGTGGTAAAGAAGATCGTTTGCATGTCTGAGGAACTCCGGGGTTATTTTGTGTATTTGTAAATTAGTCGCCGCACCGACGACTGAACCTGAAGACGAGTTCACTGGATGTAAATGAAGCAGCCTTGCTCTCTTTGGCTCTTTACATGAAGCTGAAACAACAGAAAAGTGAGATCAAAGCGAGGAAAGTGAGCCGAGAGAGACTTCAGAGGAACAGCAGTGTGAGCACTTCCTCTCTTGTGGCTGATCTTCAAGCGTGGCACAGGCCACAAAGTTTAAAGCGAGCTGGGTAGTTTGAACATACTCGAGTTACACTACAAACTCAGGGTAGAAAGTCCGAATGAACCATTCTAGAGGTGTCATATCAGTTTAGTTTAATGTTTAGTTCACCTTGGTCTCGCGCAGGAGGAACTGGAGGTCGCGTCCGCTGAGGATGCCGTGGTTCCTCACGTAACTCGGCAGGTGGACCGTACTAGTGCCGTGGACCGTGCCGTGCACCTCCATGTACGAGTGAATGATGTCCAGGTATTTCTTCTTATCCTAAAACACAAATAAAGACACACACGTGTAAAAATGCAAGTCTTGTTGTGCACAGCTCAAAGCGAGTTTTCTTTTCTGCTGATGTAAGCAAGATCGCGTGGGCGTGGCTAAACATTTCTAAATACATTCCGATAATAATAACGAACATTTATTTTATTAAAATTATTTATATATATATTATAAAATGACTAATAATAACAAACATTTATTTTATTAAAATGATTTATATATTTTATAAAATGACTAATAATGTCTATTTTATTTAATTGGTATATAATCAAAACGATCAATAATAATACAAATAAACTGACAATAATAAAATTAGCATATTTAAGAAGATATAAATTAACATATATAAAATATGAAGAATAATATTATATTAGTACTGATAATATTCAAATGTAAAAAAATAACAAAATTTTTCTTTTCCGTGTAGGCGGGGCTAAATATTTGTAAAGTCTGAATTCAATAATAGTAAGAAGTAAAATGTGTTGTAAACATCTTATTTGAAGCCATGAAATGCAGATTTTTGCAGGGATCTATCCTGTCACCAGATACTCTGACTCGACTGACTGAAGCAAACAAAAAAAAGACCACAGGAAGCTTAAAAAAACCTATACACACACAGATTTCTTTTTTTTTAGCTGTCAGTTTTTTAGCTTTTTCAGTTGAGCAGAAGTGCAAAAGGAGACAGGAACAGTCAAACGGGACTCTAGGGGGAAAAGAGGATAAAATGAAGCTTTTTCTTTACAATCGCTCAAAGAATACAAAGAAGCCCACTTCCCGTCAGAGGGTGGAAACAGAAACACGGCCAATGGATTTGTGTGTGTGTGTGTGTGTTTCACAAGGTCACAGGAACAATAAGGAAAGTGAAAACACAGCAAAAAGTATTTATAAAAGAATTACAAATAACCCATAATAATAATCATAAAATTAATAAATAAAGCCTAAAAATGTATATATATATATATATATATATATATATATATATATACACACACACACACACACACACACACATTTTTAGGCTTTATTTATTAATTTATTTATATATATATATTTAACAAAATATATAAATTTTTAGGTTTTATGTATTTATTTATTTTATTATTATTATGGGTTATTAATATATATATATATATATATATTATATTATATATTAATCGCATCCAAAATACAAGTTTGTGTTTACATAATATATGTGGGTGCATTGTGTATAATTATTTTATATATATATATATATATATATATATATATATAAGAAAAACATAATATTTATATATAAAACATTTATATTTATATATAATATAAATTATATGTAAATCTGTATACAGTATATACATGAAAATATTTATTAAATAAATACAAGCATGTGTGTGTATTTATATATATAAAATAATTATACACATTGCACCCACATATATTATGTAAACACAAACTTTCATTTTGGAAGCGAATAATCGTTTGACAGTCCTAATATATCTATATGTATATATGACACACACACACACACACACACACACACACACATATATATACATATATATATATATATATAGTCACACATATGCTGCACAATTCACAGAGGCTGACTATCACTTTGTTTTTTATACTTGTTGCTTTTTGGTTTCATTATCTTCTTCACTTTTATGCTTTTCATGGTGACACTAATAATAATTAATAAATTGCAAATGTAATATTTAAAAATAAAACAAAACAATAAAATGAATCTGTATTTTTTGTCTCACAATGTTTAGCTGGATTCACGTCCAAGTTATCAGAACACAAACTACCAAACAGAATAACAATGATGTCCTTGTTGTTTAATGATCAATTACTTCCTTGTTTCATCGACTAACACACGCGCAATGATAAGACTATTGGGTAGGAAATGCCAACACAGCATGACACGCTGACACGGAGTGATCCGGAACTAGAAAGAGTACAAATGTGCACTGTTCGGATTCATTTAGTGCACGTAAGTTTTCATCTCAAATGTGAGGTGTTCACATACTTAAAGAGCATCTGTGTTCCAGATAGAAAAATATACACACATAGATGCATTACATGTGTGCGTACACAATGCGATGAATGTATTTGTGTGTGTGTGTATAAAGACAGTTAAGACTTTATTTGCATTTCAAAAGCTTATACACATATCCTTTGATCTCTAGACCACACACACACACACTTCTATGCTCAAGTTTGTTTCCATGGAAACCAGTACTTGAGAGGCTGTGCAATAGCAGGAGTCTTTCTGTTTCTCTCGCTGGGTGAAGGACATCATCAGCAACATCGCATGAGGTTAAATGCGAGAACTAAACTAATGCTTTGTTTTTTTGAGACTGTACCTTTAATATATGTAAATGATCATTGTTACATGAGAGAAATAA